AGAGGACAGTCAGGGGACAGAGGACAGTCAGGGGACAGTCAGAGGACAGTCAGAGGACAGTCAGGGGACAGTCAGAGGACAGTCAGGGGACAGAGGACAGTCAGGGGACAGTCAGAGGACAGTCAGGGGACAGTCAGAGGACAGTCAGGGGACAGAGGACAGTCAGAGGACAGTCAGGGGACAGTCAGGGGACAGAGGACAGACAGGGGACATTCAGGAGACAGGGGACAGCAGGTCCTACCCTCGCAGGCCTTCCCGTCAGCCGTGCTGATGAAGCCCATGTCACACTCGCAGCGGAAGCCTCCAGGCAGGTTCAGGCAGTGTCCGCTCTCACACAGGTTTCCATTTTCGGCGCACTCGTCGCTGTCTGCGGGGACATGGAGACAAACCTGGGTCACACACGGTCCGTCCACTCGTCTTTACAAAGCCAGCGTCCTGGCGCGTTAGCRGGACCTGAGCAGTAGAAGCCGTCTCCAGAGAAGCCGTCCTTGCAGGCGCAGCGGTACGAGCCCATGGTGTTGACACAGTCGGCGTTGTTGCTGCACATGTGTGTCCCGTTGGAGCACTCGTCCAGGTCTGAGGGACAAACAAACTTTTAGTTTGTCCTTGYYAACCACAGAGAACCTGTCCAGCTTGTGTCTGCTTACCGGAACATTTGATGCCGTTGCCGATCCAGCCCGGAGCACAGTGACACTTGAAGCTGCCGGCAGTGTTGGTGCACGTGGAGTGGCTGTCACAGTTGTGAGCTCCGATCTCACACTCATTGATGTCTGACAGGAGGACAGGACACAAGTCTGAGCAGAGGACCTCCTTTAAAGTTAGGTTTCTGTGGGTCACTGTCAGGACCTGTCAGGACCTGTCNTGCTAACACCAGCTTATCTGTGCTAGTTGCTCACCTTTTTGATGCTAATGCCAGCTTATCTATGCTAGTTGCTAGCCTCTTCGGTGCTTATACCAGCTCATCTATGAATAACACAAACACAAATGAATAGTCTCCTTCTGATTAGCCAGCTCCAGCCTCTCAGTTAGCGGTGTCTATCATTTACCAGATCAATAGCTGGTTAGGAAAACATGTAGCCTCCTGCTACAAGGATGTAGCAACCGCTGGTTGAGCAACAGTTCGTCATGCTGCACCATAATTAGGAACAGAAGAAGTCTGGTGTGATCAGAGTCCAGTTGAAGATAACTCTCTGTTTCTGCAGCAGCAGAAAACCATGAGTCACTGTTTGTTTCCTCCTGAAGCATCTGCAGCTCATTTCCATGTCGCTCACATGAAACCAGCAACAACTACAGCAAAACATCCGTCACACAACAAGACGTTGTGAGTCGGTTTGGTGTCAGAACAGCTGATTCCTGATCCTCAGGAGGGATTTAGAACCAATCAGGTCACACCTCACATCAGTGACACAGAAACATCAACACGTTTCTCTGATCTTCATCAGGACAACAAACCAGATGTTTCCAACCACTGGATGAAACAGAACATGACGCGACTGGAGCAGCATCAAGACAGACAGGAAGGTCCACATCTCCAAACGTCCCTCAGGACATGTTGGGTCCATCCAGCTGATGGAAACACCTGGAGGCGGCAGGTCAGGTGGCTGTGACTCACTGGAGTTGACAGGGGGGCAGGATTCACACGGCGCCCCCCAGCCTTGACCCTGTGAGCAGCAGCAGGACGCCTTGGAGACCCCGACACCGATCTCATTGGAGCAGAACAAGTTCTCCGAACCGTCTCCACGAGCACGGACGTCCCGGTAACAGCTCCCAGAGCGTGTGTCTGGACACACACACACACACACACACACACACACACACACACACACACACACACAC